CTTCCTCCTTCTATAACAATTGGAGTCGAATTTTTCCTTACAAGAACATTGGGCTGACTCTCAATATCCTCCTCTTCTTCGATCTCCTCGTTATGAAATTATAAGTTTATGACAAGTTTGTTTAACAAACTGGTGGCAAATATTCTACTGGATTGACTAAGACATGCATAGCTTTGATATGTTCTGCTCATCATGGTGTCCAAGAATATACGCAAAGGTGTTGTTGCCTTCAAAAATTATAAGACAAAAAATTTCGGAATAAACAATTAGATTCAAGTACCTTAATTATTCTTTCACACTGAATGATTAAATATAAACAGTGACATATAATGTATTTTTTATTAAAAAGTGATATTTGTCACTTAAAAAAGGAAACAAACAATAAAAAAAAGTGACGGAAAAAAAGTAACAAACACTAAAAATAGTGATGAAAATTCAAAAAAAGTAACAAACGCTAAAAAAATGATAAACACCCAAAGAAGTGACAGAAATTCAAAAAAGTGACGCAACATGTCACTTTTCCTTCACATTGTAAACTAACAAGAATTTCACAAAAACACATGGCAAGAAATTTCTTTTATCTTCACATTAGCATTGTGCTTCACAAGTAACTCAAGTATGGCAATTCTTTGACAAATAACAGCATAATGAGGTAGTGTTTGACCTTCATCGTCCTTTAGGTAGTTCTCCAACAACATTACGCCCCCTTTAAAATGAATCCTCAATTCTTTGGCAATTCTTTCTTCTTGAGAGAATGCTTGAATTTTGATGCATTCAATGCTTATTCTTCAGGGAACCTATCCTTGTCCTTCATTCTTCCTCAAAATTCTTAAAATCAGATTTTCTTTCTCCTCTCATCAGAGCCTGATGAACCCTCAAACCCTGTTCCATGGAAAACAAATATATAAGAAAATCATTTTGAGAAACAGAAATTCAATGTATAAACCGTACAAGATTTTACTCCGAGTTACCAGAAATTCGTAACCTCATAGCAAATCAAGAATATAGGCAACTGCTCCAACATTCAGTACATTACACTAAATTTGGAGATCCAATTACCAAGTTGCATGGCTTATTCCATTGACATTTATAAAGCAAAAATATGAAAATGAAAGCTAGTCAACAATAGCATTTTGAAAGAAGTTTGATTGCACTCAATTTTTCCAGTAGTTTAAACTATAATGAGTTCCGATTATGTAGACACTTCAATTGTCTACTGATTACGGTTTTTGATCAAGTAATATAGAATTTTGCTCCTTTGCCAGAAGACGGCTGCCTACTTGGATGACCGACCCTCACAAGAGGGT